GTGTTTTCGCTTAAATCTTTATTGTAAACATAAAGAGCTTTAATTCGGCTATTATTATTTTACGTTTACCTCGATGTAACTAAGTCATGTGATTTTTCTGCAACATTTTTTACATAGCTACTTTTAAGATTTCACAAACGCCACCACTCGAGGATTTATGCACTGATAAGGAATGACGTGGCTACTTACTAGCATAGATAAGGCGAGAATCAGATAATATTCCATTGTTTTGCCCGGAATGACCGTCCTGTGTTTGTTTAACAAGTACTTAAGAATAGAGATTAAAAGCAAATAAGGTCAGTCAGTATGCTCTTCTAGCATTATCTCCTATTTATTAAACTTAATCTACATGCATTGGACATTGTTGTTTTGCACGACTCTACTATATTATCGAACTATTACGCTGAAAATTCGCTGGATATTCGTTCTCATTTCATCGAAACATTAATTAAGTATTAGAACTTTAATCACATACTGTGAACTGGACTAAGACAATTTTCTTCGCAACGATTTTACTTTACTGCGTGTCATTATTCGTGATTGATGTAATTTTGCTGGCCTAAATATTTACAATATTGTCACGATAGGTGATTTCTTCACGCAAAAATATACCTTTTGTTTCCATTCGATACGGGTAAGTGAATCGATTTTGCAATCGTTAACGTTTTGCTTTCGAGTTTTTGGAATCGATTTGCGTCAATTGCTTTGAGTTGTGTGGTTTATAGGCGTTAGGCTCAGTCAAGGGTATCTAAAATCGTGTTTTCTATTGTGCGTAATAAAATAATCATGGAATTAGAGAGTATGTCAAGGGCTATAGCGATATATGAGCATGGGTATTAGCAATAAGGTCAAACTTTATAATTGCTGCCACACTCAATTCACATTCGTATAATATTAGATTTCAACTAAATTGTTGGATTATTTAGGTTGTTACGTTAAACTTATTTTGAACAGAATTTGTAATTTTTCTACATACAACCATAACTTTGTTTTCGTGACCTTTTCAAAGAACCTGTGACTACAATGTGTGGCGCAGTTCTTACAAAGCAAACATGTTTAAATGTAACCTTTTCATCGATCTGATAACAATACACTTTGTCGTCTAGAATAACAATTAAGTAGGTAGGTACCTATATTTTTCCAAAGTGTAACGACCGAGGTCACTGGAAATCAAACAAAAGAAAAACAGATTTTCGAACTATCACAAGCGTTTGAATAACAACAGCACGCATAAACAAATACTAAACAGATATTTTAATGAATATACGTACAATATTTATTGGCAATAAAACAACTTCTAGCGCATTCACCTAGCACAAAAACATTAACCGGCCAAAATCAAGGAACATGCTCTTGAGAATTTAAATCCCCCAAAAATGTCTTTCATATTTAGCTGTATTATCCCAAATTATCTCGCTTACGTTTTATCTCAAAGTGAGAGACAACTCAAGGCCTACAATAATCTTGGCAAAGTTAAACCGAGCGTTAAAAGTATTCGACAATTGCAAATAACAAAATAATCAACACAATCTAGTGTTTGATATTGTTAAGTATTTACACAAATGCTTTACCAACCCGGTATTTGTTAGGAACGTAACCTTCACATTGAAGTAAAATTAAACAGAAAACTGAAATATTTAGCTGAAATAAATTATGAACATTCTTTCGCATTTTTAAAAAACTGTTCCTACCATTGATTGTATCAAGCTTTATGGAAATAGTATTATGCGAGGCAACCGCACACATAGGAATTGGCAACAACGAATTAATGCTTTTAATAGCTACTCTATTACCGAGTTTATGGACCGATTTTCTCACGTGACCTTCTATTTGCGAACTAAAATACGTCATTGTGATTATTTTTGTTCATATGGAGATTTAAATTTACAATACAATTGATTGTCATTTTATAATTCATGTCACATAATAATATACAAAGTTCAGTTAGGTCCAAGAACGCATCCCTGTGGTATCCCACAATTTCTTAGAAGTGACTCGGCGCTGTCCCAAGCATGCGATTCGCCTACGGATAAGAAATGACCTTTAGGGCGGGGGACTGGTCTGACCGCATGCTTCTGCACTTGGTCCCATGTGGAATTTATAACGCGACGCCGAAGCCGGCTTGCAGTCATAAAAATTCTACGTTAAAATGTTTCTTTATGTTTTAATTGAAATTCTCTTTGTTGTAAGTGTGTTTCAAATTGTTTTGACAACTTATCGTTTGTATTTGTTTTTTATTTTTAGTTATTTTCGGAATGAACATTCCGTCTGTCCTTCGGTTTAGTAGCCTGCACATATTTGTAAAGATATTTGTGGCATCAAGCATGACATTTTAATTTTAATGGCATTATGTGCTTGTGCATCAAATGTTTAAATTAAATCATACAAAATATACCAGAGTTAATACTATATATACAAGAACAAGTAAATATACAAGATTTACTATCCATAGAAATTACTTATCCACGAACCGTACTGCGTTTGAAGCTTGTAGTTAATTAAAATAATCGCTTTATTCCGAATATTTTCTAATGCAATTATATCGTACCACTGCCACTGTTAGAATTAGAATCAATCTCAATGATCATAAATCTTCTAAATTAATTAAGTACCTACTAAAGCTATGATTCATTTTAGGACATTTGTGGTATAGTGAAGGGTATTTTGAGTCCATAAGCAGGTTTACTTAGAACAACTTTACTCAGAATAACTTCAAACGACGTGGGTATACATTATGATTTCGTTAACTCGCAAGGATTTCCACCTAGATTGCAAGGTTCGGCACCGTAATTATTATTTTGATCTTGTTTAACTTATAGTGTTTTAGGCTTTATAATAAAATCGGTGCAGAAGTTTTTGTTCAATGACTTAGTGTTCATGTTTGGTGTTGTTTATTGTTTAAGTAATGCCTAGAATGAGGAAGATGACTTCAGGGGGATATTAGAGACTGGATCGTTTTCCATAGAGCTTGACTGTTTGATCCTTTTATTTTTTATTCAAAAGTATGTTATAATCTTTACCTTGAGAAAGAAACCTTCGTAAATCATGTTATAAATGAAAGCAAGCATTGTCGTCAAATCACAAATGAACACTATAATAAAACCGATAAATTAAATACGTAGAGATCTCTTGTTGTACATGAAACTGCTATAAAACTGTCTTAATAACATGTTAGCTATGAATACCATGAATAATTCGCGTGGAAAGTTGAACAGTGACGTCAGCCTGATCATATATGTGTGTGATGTATGAATATGTTAGAGGGACATTGAGCTTAGGATGATCACGTTTTTTGCTTTGATACAAGCTGAGACACATACATTTTGTAAACATAAAGACGAATAGCACGTGACAAAATATTTAAGAACTATTTTTGTGATAAAAATTTAAGATCAGTAGAAGCAGTTTTAGGGGGAAATCAAGCGATCAAGCAAAAATGGCGATTGTAACATCGTTTCTTAGAATTCATTTGATGGCTAAAACCGGAGAAACGAAAGCCATAAACGACGATAATGCCACAAAGATCTATAAAGGCATTCTATACGAGACTATCTTCATCAAACGCCTCTTATGAAACATTGAAAGTAAGAAAGTCGATATCCCTGTATGTAATTATAGATGCATCTAAATCCAATGATTTGTAATAAAACTTCATACATCTAACGTTACTAATTACACACTTTCACCGCTTTTCACTGCCAAGAGATTGGAACAAAAATGCAATCTGTTATTAAAATGAATGATCGCTGCTGTTTCCTTCGGAACATTAACAAATGATTACTCTCTTTAACATGGAATTACCTCGTTATAAACATTTCTATTATCGTTGCATTACTTCTCATTATGTTCTACAATATTTCTATTTTGTGTATAAGACATTATTGAATAAACACTTCGATATTCAAAATATAATTTTGTCTTCTGGCCTTTTCCCAACTAGGTTAGGATTAGCATTGAGTTGATCACGTTTTCTTGCTGAATGCAAAAAATCTGAAGTAAATATTACTATTATCGTAAACAGAAAGTATGATTTATCGATATTAGGTTCAATACATCAAGTTAAAACGTGTAATTCGTAGTTATGGACTAATTGGAAGCATTTTCATTCTAATTTAATTCTCACATGAATATTTATATCTACAAATGTTTGCTTTATGCGACAACTTTCGGTCCAATCCAGTTTATTGATCTCTCTTTGTTTTTTGTGTGGGAATCACGGAATGTTCTCATAATTATTTACTTTTAAGTTGAATCAAGCGTAGATCATTGTGTTTTAAATGCATTAAAATAATTATAAGATTCGTGAACGCTATTTAAATGTGTGATAACCCAACAATGAGTTACCTAACACCGTGTGTTCATGTGTGTTTTGTTTTTGCGCAACAAAGAATCGTTTAATTGGACTTTTTGCCCTCTTTAAGTCACAAAATAGTCGTGTATTTCTACTACCGACAACAATATTCGGCTAGCGGTAATAGTGTAACGCGGACGTCAACAGAAAGTTAACACTTCCTTGCTATCGACAGTGACGGACAGTTAATGTGTTAGTTAGGAAGAACAAATTTGACATTGGACTTGCTGCATAATGCAAGTGAGTCAACATATCCACAAAAACAGTTCATACAAACGAAGTCATTTTTTTACATTACCACTGTCAGTAACCACTTCAACAGTCAGTAAACTGAGTTAACCAACACTGTTTTGGTTACGATTGAATCAACGTCAGATCTGATAGCGATCCAATTAAACTGAGGGAAACGAGTTACGAAACCTGCATACACGTAAATGTATGTTCTCAAAGTTGTTCTGGTCAGTTAATGATTGAAATGACTTCGTCTGTTCAGTTAAAAGTTACAAACAAAGCAATCTGCCAAGCAGTTTAGCAAATCAAACAGCCTGTTTCATCACATCAAGTCACGATTGTGCCGAACTTAATGACACGACGACGTTCAGTTTCAAACTCTGAATGCACCAAAAGGTCTAGGCTACACGGCACTCACCGTTGGTGCCAAAATAGTCATCCTTATCCATTAAGTCATGCTGGAAACCATAAGCAGGGAGCCATGCATGGGAGCCCGGTGGCTCGGGCCAATCCGAAATTCGGACCTCCTCCATTTGGACATCAACACTACACTGCACTCCACCAGCTAGTTCACACTGTTAGCACAATCATGCATGGACTACCTCTTCGTTCGTCCATTAGTTGGTCATTTAGGGCGATAACGGTTGGTTGTGCGGCTGTGCACGGGCAGGTGTACTTGTCCTTTCACTGAGACGCGCGCGCGCGGCGGGGAACGGCGGCTGACTGGCGCGCGGTCGCCGTGGCGCGCGCGCTGCGATCTCTCCAACCGATATCTATTGCTGTAAAAAAAACGCCAGACGCCATCGTGCCGCGCCTCAGCTGTGCTTTTGCCTGCTGCCCCTTGAACGGAAACTGAATCGACAAACGCGAAACTAGATTTACGGGCTGGGAACCAGTTGTAAGCATGCTTTGCTCATTTGGTAACAATTAAGAGGACATTCTTGCGTCCAAACAGGCGACTTTGGAACCTGTTACGACAGATGCTCTCAGACTTACCTGTTCTTGTTTTTAGACGTTTCTGGTGCATACTAACTTTGACTGGATCTTACGATACTGCAGCCTTCAAGTTTTCTAATGACCTGACCAAATCGTTTTGGTTTAAAGCCTGCTGGATCCTAGTTATTTTATAGGACCAATTGTATCTCATAATGATGATGGGTCTTCTTTCTGGGTGTATAGAATTAAACCAAGATAAGGAAGCTTCAGCCATGATGACGATTAAATGAGAAACTACTTTCCTATATGTTAAATGTAAACCTCTACAAATTGTAAACTGGTAGTGCTTTTTTATACATCCTCAAATCCCGAAAGTACTAAATCAAGTTTATTAACACCTTTCTTCGTTACCGGTTGGTAACGATCGACTCAATTGATAGCCTTACTGTTTATAATAATAAATCTCCATGAATAGCATGGTTGTATGGTTACATCAGCATGTAATAACATCAAAGTAGTGACCTTTGACCGTTATTCAGACAGCGTACAGTTATTCCCAAACATTCTCTCCATTAACTGTACAAACTGTCGAATTAATCGTCATACAGATCACGATTACCTTACTTACGTTGAATTACCGCACGCCATAGTAAATACAGAGAAAGTATGGCGGGACACAGAAACTGGTGCGTGCGTCTATGCCCAAATTTGAAATTAGAACATTATGGAAAAAACGAAGTCGGAGATCACGTACGAACGCTTTTACTTATAATATGAATTTCATAGTTTTCATTCTGCGATTTATAGATAAATTTTATCAAATGGAGACATATTAAATATTGGTAGAAATGTCATTTTTATTGATTCTCTGTCAATTGATTCATTCAAAACTCTCTCTGTCGTCATACACAACTTTCCACCATTGAAAGTTAATAAAACAAAACAAAAAGTTGCGAATAGTCTTCATTCTTCGATAAACTACGTTATGGAACATTTCTTTTGTGCCGTTTAGAAATTCATTCACATACATTACAATTCTCGATTGGACACGTCGTCATTAGACGGACATTAAATGATTCTACAATCAACTTGTGCGATTATAAAAAAAGTATTTCCATTGTAGGAGTTAATGTAAAAATAATGCGCTCTGCAGGTTTCTTGGCTTTATTTTCTTTTGTTAGCTGTAACGGCTCTTGGACGATAAACTTACTGTTTCTGACCTTTCGTAAAAGTTCATGGTCCTAATTTTTTTCATTTGTTATCTGGAATTCTTGGTTAACATTATTTATTTCTTTGAAATTGTATCTAATCTGTAGGTTACGTAAAGGTAAAGTCACGCTAGTCTTGACTTTTAGTACTTGTTAAAACATACTCACGTTAGGAGTGCTCAAAACTATTGATGTTTTTTAAATCCACCCAACCAAACTTAGTCTACCTTAGCATGGACTCAGTAATATAATGTTCATAAGTCATTGTAACTTATTTTTTAATTACATACTTCCATATCACCACAAATCACGCGAACACGCACACGTAATATTTATGTATATGAAAGACCTTGTTTAAATAACTTATGATATTATAGAGAGTGAAATGAAACAATCATTCGTGTGAGATAAATTCATAATAGTTACAAGTTATTATTACAATGAAGATGAATAGACTGTACAACGGTGCAAATGATCAAAAGACTATAAGAAATAACGTCACGAGCCAAACGATGAACGTGTTGGCTTCAAACAGTAATATTAAAGGTTACTGGAACGCGAATGACGAAGTTAATAATTTGTGCAAAGTGTATTACGGCAAAATGTCAAATTAAAGTGAAGAAAATATAGTAAAGCGTGACGTGGAAGGGCGTTAATAAACCTAATTCTCAGCTAGTTACGTTACGTGGAGCATATTCAGTAGATAGAGCGTAATACTCGATAGAATAACATGTTATTAATAGACCAACAATAATAATAATAGAACTAATTTAAAAACAACAATACAGTCTGTGTTCAAAGAAAATATCAAAGCTTATTTCCCAACTTGGTTTAATTAGTCGCTCAGTTATGCACTCAGAATTTGAGTCCATTCTTCACAAGAGCCATTACAATACGTTACAAAACACGGAACTCGGTCATTCCCATCTTACGTAACGTTTATAGCTCCTTATATTTCCTTTGCGTAAAAATTTAAGAATATAAACAGCTTTCTGGCGACCAGCCAACCTTTAAGATACTATCCTAGACTCATTTCATCTTCTCATTATCAATATTACCAACATAATTTGGCTTTTGTTCTAACGTTTCTGCAATTTGTAAATTAGATTCTGTTTTGTGAATTTTCTTTCTTAGCACTCAATCATCGCTTTCCTATCTTTTGTATGATATATCTTTTGTTTCTGCGGAATGTTTGTTTTGAATCAGAACTGGCCAAAATAGACTGTCAGTGTGTGATTGATCACCGCGAAACGTTTGCACGAAACTATTATTTGCTGCAATATTTCCTCGCCGACGTTCAAATTATACGTCACACACGTAATTTCCTTTATGATTTCTTTCGTTCTGTTAATTTGTACACAAAATGGATAATTGAAGTTTTAAGGGACCAAATCGATACATATGTATTGAAATTGTACTGAAGATAAACTAATATACAAAGAACTATGGCTAGAATAGGATTTCAAAGATGTAAGTACAAGATTGAATGAAAATTCAGCATACAATACTACAACAACATTCCCAGATGTGGATCAAAAGCAAAAACATGAATCAAACAATATAAACACTTATAATACATAATAATAAGATAGAAATTAACAAACATTTTGATGATGAGTACGATCAGATACTAGTTACAATGAAGCGTACGTTCCCACACAACGTTTGGCGCTACGCCAGAGATAGTGAGTCTTTGGCGGTTTGTTTTGAACCAATCTTCAGTCTATTGAATAAACTGTTGTTGTACGGTGTACATAGTGTACGTGTGGAATACTACATGAATGCATAGTTGAGTAAACGGTTCTTCAATTCAAAGTGATAGACATTGTTCCGCATAAAGGTTTACATGCAATAAAAGTATTGAGTTGTTCTCGACCCTCAATCAATATGTTTTACATAATTGGAACCGATTCACGTTGAATCCTTTTTATGTAGATATAAAGAATACAACGCTTTAATTAAGTTTAGTAATTTGCTATGTGAATACGGAATCAGAGGAATTTTGGATAATAGTAATTACGAAGACCTTACTAAGATTTGTCAGCAATCATTTGTAGTGCCACTTTCGCTCGTATATATATATATATATATATATATATAAGTATCGTTACAATGCTGTCTCCTCATTGAAAGCCCTGTCTAATTTTACCAGTCATTACTTTCAAACAAAATATATTTCACATATCTTCCCTTCATCTCCAGTTTTGCTCCGCGGCTTTAAAGGTCATAACTCTGCATAAGTCAACACAAGTTAAGTTGCCATGGGAACAAGCAACAAGCTTAACCTCACTTGACAGCTAGCGCGGGATGCAACAGGCAACAACCTCATAAATATGTAGTAACACAATGTTCCTTTTATTTGTTGTCATCTTGACTACATTATTGCAGTGAGCACAAACGTTTACTCACAAGATTCAGTAAATTGTAATCTCAGGGTATAACGTGGGCTTTGTCAAATAAATTGTGTTTATAAGATTACGTTGTAGTGTTGTAAGTAGGTATTTGTTAGCTGGAGAATAATTTAGTGTTAAAATTCTTGGGAAATTTTGCAGAATCGTTTGGTTTTGAACCGCTATGTAGCTAAAGTACGCGATGTCAAGCTACGCGGGTACGATATCAAGCTACGCGACTACGATACGCGATATCTAGCTACGATACGCGAAGTCAAGGTACGCAGCGACGGTATGCGATGTCAAGCTACGCAGCTACGGTACGCGATATTAAGCTACGCGGATACGACCCGCGATACGCTGCTACGACATGCTAAGTCAAGCTACGCGACATCAAGCTATGCGGCTACGACACGCGACTTCAAGTTACGCAGCTACGACAACCGAAGTTAAACTATGCAGCTACGGGGTGCGATGTCAAGCTACGCAGTTACGATGCGCAATGGCAAGCTACGCAGCTACGGTACGCGATATGTACGTGGCAACGATCGTTCACATTCTTTAGCCGCACTTATACTATATTTAGGTGAAAACCATAGAAACTTATAAAGATACCTCAACGTTCACAGTCCGTAGGTATGTTTTCTTATGGCAAAATAATAATAATATCTAATAGTTTTATGTAGGCATTGTTCTGGTTGCAAATCGCGTAAACCCGCAAATGTGCAGCATTAAAGCTAAGCCTAGAAACGCTGCGGTCGCAAATCACGCGGGAAAGCCAAACGCTCGTATTCTGAAATAGAATTTATCATAACATTTATTTTTTTAACGGGGGAAAATCATCGAATGACTTCTCCCTCCTGTGTGAGGTGCGAGGGAGTGTCAGAATCTTACTGACTAAAAACCGCTCCGTTCCTATTCCTGCACTTCGAGCCGGAGCCCCAGCAACGGGGCACAACAATAACCTCTTATCTGTTTAGTGTATCGCGTTAACTTCTGAAGTCTACAATAACTACATTGAATTGGTGAAAATGTTTTATGAAATATCCTACATCCACATATATTAAGACTAGCTCGGTTGGTATATAAAAACAACGTTAATTAAAGAAAACATAAACTCATGAGTCCCTCAGGTGTAAATCCAATTTGAAAAGAATGGTAACAAACACTAAATAGGCA